CTCCCTTTGGTTCCAAGATGGGGATTTCAAGTTTTTGGACTGATCATAAAAGGAAAATGGTTGACAAGTTAAAGATTGATATCACAATTTCTAGAAAAATTTATAAGATGGATCTTTCCCAAATCACATAACCATATACCTAAAGAGTTTTCCTTGATTGTGTAGTATATATTTTGAGTCTGATCATAAAATTCCTTGTAAAGAAATGTCTGACTTTCTGCCATGATGAATTGTCATATATTTAGGCTTGATATATTGTTCTTCCTTGTCCTTCACTGTGCATTGTTCACCTTGGGCCTTATTAGAATAACACAGTTAATGCAAGATGATCTTTCTGGATTAGGTAAGTTGTAGTTTCATGGTCACTGCTAATCAATCTTGAACAGTTTTGAATGTGCTGTTTTGAAATTTAATATTAAAGTACGGTCTTTAGAAATCATAAGTTTCAGAGAGATAAAAGAATAGAAGGGAAAGATCTGATTGATGAAAAAGACAATTAAGATCCTACAATGGTGCACACCAAGATCTCTCCGAGATCTATTGTTAGTTGTAATATATACAGAAAACATCAAAAAAATACCAACGTAATCATACTCCTGACTCAAATTCCATAAAACTAGAGCAGAGAGACTCCTGAAAAAGTGCAGGTAGAATAAGACCAGGTGTTCCAGAAGAGTAAGCACATTCTGCTTCATCGACGACACCTGCCGTGTATACCTTGGTCAGTCCAAGTAAGTAATGTCATGTTCTCAATTGAGAACAAGTACGCAACAAAGGAACCAACTGACAAACATGCAGACACTGATAAAAGACAGATTTTTGTGTTTATACATCATTGATTTAACTATTCTTCAGGTAATTGCCTGATGGTAGGGTGTATTCATGATAATGTGTTGACTTCTCAAATCTGTGTGGTTAACTCTGGTGTGCGTTCATCATTATGTGAGGTGTTTGCTGGTGAATCAATTCAAAATCAATAAACAGTCATTCAGGAAACTACGCTTTAATCATGTATGACAATGTTGACATATTGCTAGTGAGCGTAATTATTGAAACACCTGGTCACTTAATGCTTGATGAAGTCGGCCATGCTGTGATTTCTCCCAAATGTATAAGTCTGACTCTGATATGATCACTCCCTAATAGTGCACATGACCAGGAAGTTAAAAAATTGGAAGATCTTATTTTTGAGATGGAAAATGTACTGTTTGTCTGAGAGGCTGAAAGTTTGCTTGGTTTGATGGAAAATCTGACATGTTGGCAAGGAATAGTTGTAGATATCTCCAACTCCAACTGCTTGTCACTCAATTATCATGTCCTTTGTCAAACCTGCAACATTCCAGGGAACATGTCATGATGGTTTCAAGAACTCTTCTGCAGCAGAGGTAAAATGTCACCTGCACCATACTATGATATACTGTACTGACTGTGAGTCACAAGCTTTGGCGAACTGAGTAATTATAATCTGAAGAATCTGGCACCCTCTCTTGCTAATATCATTTTCAATGTTTGAAAGAATTGAATTTTTTTTTTTTTGTAAAGTTATACTTCTAGATATCCAAATGTGATTGTCAGTAGTGCTTTTTATTTGATTGTAAGTCAAAAAGTTTAGTTTTTGTATCAAATTTCTAAGCTCAGTTTCAAAATAAATGTTCTCTGCCTGTGATCAGCAGACAAACGAAAATGAATGTAAGCATGTGAGTACTGTCAGATGCAAATTTCTGTTAAAGTATATTTAAAAAGGGGATGTATATGTACATGTGTATGTAAGGCTGCCACTGCCTTGGTCTAAAATTAGAATCACTGAGGTGTGACATTCTGCAGAAGACTAATTAAATAGCTTGAATTATGAAATTTTAAATCACTTAGATTTCACACTTGAAAGTTTTTACTTGTCGAGCGAGTTTTATGTTGTCATTTTCTAAATTGTTTAAGCTTGTAATTTCTGTATAATGATGAGACAGAATGACATATAGCTAAGATTTGGTTAAAACCTTGTCTATATTTAAAATTACAAAACTGAGGTTACAGGATGACAGATAGTTGAAATGATAGAGAATTCTATTGGCCAAAGTCCTGTTTAAATTTTAACCTTTATCTATCATCTTTATTATTATTATTATTATTATTATTATTATCATAATTTGTCACACAATTGTGAGAATTCGCAAATAAAAAACTGTTTGAAAATGTAAGATAGCCTCCACTGCATGTATTTAACTATATGATACTGCTGCTACTGCTGCTGCTGCTGCTGTTGCTGCTGCTGGTGTGGTGGTGATGTGGTGGTGATGTAATGTATATATAAGACACTAGATTTGAATGCAGAATCTGAGGCTGCATGGAAATTCATATAAAGTGTTGTCTCGACTGCCAATAATGTCACAGGTGTGTAAAATACACATGTAGTATAAAAACAAAGAAAAAAACCCCAATTAATTCTTTGCAATATTTCAGCTGAATATGATATATAATTGTGATTTCTTTAAAATATGTTTAATGAAGAAACATGTTTTTGATTATAGTCGTTTAATGGAAGGATAAAATTGTTAATTGACAATCAACATACAATTTTGACGAAGTGGATATCCACTTGGGAGTGATCTACCTTGTGTAATACACTTGGGAGTGATCTCCCTTGTGTAATACACTTTGGAGTGATCTCCCTTGTGCAGTACACTTTTGAGTAATCTCCCTTGTGTATATATGGATATATACTTTGTAGTGATCTTCCTTGTGTAATACATTTGGGAGTGATATCACCTGTGTAATACATTTTGGAGTGATCTTCCTTGAGTAATATACTTTGGAGTGATCTCCCTTGAGTAATACACTTTGGAGTGATCTCCCTTGAGTAATACACTTTGGAGTGATCTATCTTGTGTATATAGAAGGTATGGCAGTGATAAGAAATGTAGTGATTGTCTTCAAGAGTTAATTTCCTATATGGAAGTATATCAACTGATATCTTTAGTCTGGTCATTTACCAATCACCTACTTAACAAATTTAAATTCCTGGTTAAAGCTTGATGCGCTACTTGTAAAGTTTCTCAGGGTACTGAATATGAATTCACACTGGATGACCCTTCACCCGAAAATGGAATAACATGCTTTTTTAAACAAAAATTGGAATGAGTAATTGGTGTTGAATAAATCTACCCAGTTTGGAAGAAAATGTTTTTATAGTCTTTTGCCAATATTCTTTGCAGGGAAACAGGAAGAGCTGGTATGACAACGCAATGAAAACTACATATATATAATTGTATAAATCTGAGTGTCATACTATATATAGTTTTATATATTCAGAATTGGTATTTACTTGAAATATGCCATTTCTAAAATAATGAAACATAAAGCATTTATCTTTTCTTCCCTTGGAACGTAGACTTGTGTCAGCGACTTTTCAAGATCCTCTTTACATGTATATAATACTCAAAAATAGGTTACTGCTAGGGGATGTGGGAGACAATGTATTTCATTCACCCCAAAATTACTTTGCTCATGCTTTTAATATACTTAGATCATCTTGACTGTGTCTACAAACTATATATGTTTTGATTAGGATTAAGATATAAGCTTACCAGGCAGATGATTTATAATCTAATAAGCATTGTTCACTAATTCTAAGTTGTTACTGCTTACAAAACATTGACAATTTTTATTATCAGTTATTGAAAAAGTGATGTCATTTATGATCTCTGATAAAGTTACTACCTTTTTGGTTGAAAAGTTACCTCCCCTTTCCAGTTATATTAAGTCTACTTTTCTCTGAAGAAATAATGGATTTAGTTTAAGAAATAAAATCTTCTGTTGATCTTTTATACATAATGCGATATATATCTAGAAAATTCTGTTTAGTGTTCAATCATACTGATGAAATCTGAAACATGATTTCATTTTCCCTAAGGTATTTTATGATTTACTTGAAATGATATTTAATACATGAATCATGCTGGGAGTGATTTTTTTTTTTTCTCCCCTCTATATTGTTTGAAGTGTTTCCCTTTCAAAGGTACCCAATGAAATTTCCTATGCCTTGCATATATACACACATATATAGATACTGTCCCAGTGTGATCCGCCCTACCATGTGATATCCATTGTGTGAAGTCTCTAGAGTTATCTCCCCTCCCTTGGCTGCTTACCAGTACCGTATATATCCACGTATAGTGCTATGTCTGTGCTGTGGTGCAGTAAAACAGTATATCTGTGTTGTCTTTGTTTATGTCTATCTTGTCAAGTGCAGTCTTGTGGGTATAATTAAAGTGATTCATATATTTTGTTTTAATAAAAATGAATAACTTTTTAATAATTATAGAAAAATATACATATTGATATATTCTGCTGAATAAAGGTTTTATCTGAAATTTTAAAATGAAAAAAGGATGAAAATTCATGGTGTCACTGTGCATTTTATCAATATTACATTTAGTTAGTTGACGTTAAAATCTTATTCTAAAATTAAAATTAATTAAAAAATTTCATGACCGAATAAAAGATCAATAGGTTATAATTCACCATTTTAAAAACCAATTTTTGATTGTCCAATAATTTTCTCTGTCAGGATAAAATTCATGTAAAGGAGATTTGCTGTTCTTATGAAAATAACACATAGTTTATAATATTCATAAAGTAATTGAGTAAATTATTTTTTTTCCCTTAATTTTCTAGGAGTGATATACTGTTTTGAAAATAAGATCCTTCCAAGTCCTAGATAACTGAATATAATTATATTATTTATTGAAATATGTATTTGAATATTTTTAATTATCTTAGAATCCTTATTTTAAAAAAGTTCAAAATTTGAATCTTGGATATGAATATAAATTTTGTATTGCTTTTCAAAAAAGAAAAAAAAATGAGTTTGAAGAAAAATTTTGTAATAAAGTAATTTATTATTATTTTTTGTTTTTGTTAAATGAATAAAACAAAAACTGTTAAACTCCTGATCAAATCAACTTGCAATCGAGCCATGTTTTCAAAATCATTTTATTTTTCAGGTTTTGTCTTTGGGGGCAGATGTGTTGCCAGAGTACAAGCTTCAGTCACCCCGAATTCATCGCCTCACAATTCTCCATTACTCTCCGTTTAAAGCTGTGTGGGATTGGATAATTCTTCTACTTGTCATTTACACAGCCATATTTACGCCCTATGCGGCAGCATTCTTGCTGAGTGAAGAAAATAGCCGAAATCGAGATGGAAACAAAAGTATCGAGACCCGCTACCAGAATCCAATGACGATCATAGATTTGATTGTTGATATAATGTTTATTATTGACATTTTGATAAACTTTAGGACAACATATGTAAATAAAAATGATGAAGTGGTTAGTCATCCGGGCAAAATTGCTGTGCATTATTTCAAAGGATGGTTTCTTATAGATGTAGTGGCTGCTATTCCATTCGATCTTCTACTGTTTGGATCGGAGACAGATGAGGTAGGTATTTGCAGTAAACTGTTAAAATGCATAAAGTCATTGCAGTACCTACCTGATCAAATTTAAATCATACTTCATCATTCCAACATGATGTTATGCTTAACAAGACAAGATCACATAGCTCGTTAGCCTGGCTGGTAGTGTAGCAGACTATAATGCGAACGTGAAGTATAGGTCTGCTGTGTTTTGTTTGATCCCTATCTCCGGTAGTTTGTGTTGCTGAGAAAGCTGATATCGCAGACTTTGTCCTGTGTTGTTGTGATTGTGTCCTTGGTAGACATTTTATCCCAATAGCTATGGATAAAATATGGTGGGCCTTCTGTATGGTGTTGAGTGAGGTAGCAACCAGGTAGTCTGCAAGGAGACCCAGTTGTCAGGGTTTTAAACTCAGCAAACAGACAAGTAGCTAAATAATACTACAACCCTCCATTTTATCAATCACCAAGGCAATTACCATTCAGGCAATCTAGGTAATTCATGTAGACTGAGCTAGATGTAAATCTGATACATTTTTACATCTATGTAGAGCTCTATTCATATATTTTGTAATATTTAGAAACCTCCATTTACTTTAAGTTTTACTATTTGAGATTTTATTGTTTAGCTGATGATGCCAGGGGGCAGCACACTACAGGTAGGACCCTTGGTAGTCCAAGATATTCGTAGAGTAATAACTCCATGAGTCTGTGTAGTTCATAAAAGTCAATTCGCACGACTCTAGTAGTTGAACAATATCTGAATTCATCAACACTGGTAGATTATGAATATCTTCATTCGTGACTCTAGTATAGTGGTTTGTTCTTAACTCTAGTAGTTTATAAGCAACTTCATTCAGGACTCTACATCTTAATTCATGATTTCAGCAACTTAAAGATATCTTAACTCATGACTTAAGCAGTATAAATATATCTTAAGTCATTACTTTAGCAGTTTAAAGATATCTTAATTCATGACTTTAGCAGTTTAAAGATATCTTAATTCATGACTTTAGCAGTTTAAAGATATCTTAATTCATGACTTAAGCAGTTTAAAGATATCTTAATTCATGACTTTATCAGTTTAAAGATATCTTAATTCATGACTTTAGCAGTTTAAAGATATCTTAATTCATGACTTTAGCAGTTTAAAAATATCTTAATTCATGACTTTAGCAGTTTAAAGATATCTTAATTCATGACTTAGCAGTTTAAAGATATCTTAATTCATGACTTTAGCAGTTTAAAGATATCTTAATTCATGATCTGCATAGTTTATAAAGATCTTCATTCTTTAGTAATGTAGTTTTAAAATATCTTAACAATGGTGTACAAATATTCTAGTTGAACATATATTAAGGACTGTATCTTTTATTCCTGAATCTAGCCTTGGGTAATTCTCACACGAGTGCAGTGTCCTGTATGTTTTCTTGTTTGTATGTAAATGTCAATGTTATTCATACACATCATACACTATTGGACAGCTCAATCAGTAACAGTGCAATGGAGAACACAATCATAGTCTGAGGAAGATCTGAATTGTGTGTGCTTCTGTGATCCCTACACAGTTCGTAAAAAAGTTCTAGACCTGATCCTTAATGGTCCCTGATAGCTGAAACATACTCTCTGGCTGTATTAGTATTCATACCTTTGCAGTATTATGTATATACAATTTCCAAGTATGACGAGATGAGCACAATTATGCTAACAGAAAGGAGGTTAATAAGAATATCGAGCTGTATTTGGTTAGATATTTGGATGTTCAATACATGTCCTTTAGGCCTCTTGTACAGACTAGGGAGTGTAAATGAGTTTAGACGCTGGTTCCAGTCGTTCAGGGTAAGTACATAACACAGAAGTGTCTCCTGTCTGGGTGTCTGGTTAGTTCTTCTTGTTTGGAGTGTGTTGATTAGAATCTGTGGTGTGTAGCAGGTATGATAAAAAAACTTACCCTGAAGTGATAGTTACATTAAAATTATAACCTGTTTTATTGTAACTAAATATCTATTTAATGTCATACAATCTTAAAGACAGGCATATCTTATGAATTCATGAGTAAATGATGAAAAGGAAAAACAATCAGCTTGCCAAGTTTTCTAAACAAAATTCTGTAACAGATGTCAGTAATCTCGTATGTAATGTCATAGGAGTAAGATTATAAAACAAATGGGAAACGTTTTATAATGAAATTTCAATGGTTGTTTGAATATCAGGACAAATTTTAAATGCTTTCCTAACCAGCACTATTCATGTTGAATATACGTGTTCAGGAGATAGAAGTTACATTAGTGAAGGACAAATTTCAAATGCTTTCCTAACCAGCACTATTCATATTTAATACAACTGTTTATGAGATAGATGTTTGTAATGTAAAGAACAAACTAGAAAAAAACATTAATACATAATATACATAGCTACCTGAAAATGTTGCAGATGAAAAAGAAATTATGAACGAAATGTTGATACACATATGTTTGTTCATTGTATGTTTCTGTGTGTCCAAGAACTGATAAAGAAATGAGGAGAATATATAACTAAAGTGTGTAAAATCTATCAGGAGAGTGATGTTTATAAACTCTGGATCCCCTCTTCAACCTGGATACCAAAATAACAGGAGAACCAGAGAAGAGACATTCAGAATCACACCAAGTGAAATAAAAGCTGTGTGATATACGTTTAAAAATGTTCAGAGGCGAGAAACTTTCAATGATATTATATTTTATATATACACGATGTTAACAATTGATTCATCTTTGATTTTATTTTACGAAAATATCAATGTTATTTACTTAGTTTGTAATCTTGTAACATATATCTGATAATATGAGATGCGCCTGTTATGTAAAATCTGTTTTCACAATTTTTTAAGATGTGAAGAGTTCACTCTTTAAAAAGTTTAGAATAGTGTATCTGGAATCTTTTTAACCTTTCATATTCTTTCAAATTTAAATTAACTCAAATAAATAACACTTTGTTTCCACTGAAAGCTTTATATAATCCATGAATTAAGTTCAATAATTGATTTTTCATGATTGATAGAAATGAGATTTCGCTTTTTACTTTTCTTTTTTATGTATGTTTTTACAAATAAATCCCTTGCACTATACTATATATTGAAAAAGCGTGGCTTACAAATCATAACTTTTTTTTTTTTTTTTTTTCAGACAGCAACATTGATTGGACTTTTAAAAACAGCTCGTCTTCTCCGATTGGTTAGAGTAGTTAGGAAATTGGACAGATATTCCGAATATGGTGCAGCTGTTTTGTTGTTGCTAATGGCAACCTTTGCACTGATAGCCCATTGGCTAGCCTGTATATGGTACGCCATAGGTAATGTTGAAAGACCTCATCTTCCTCCGCCAAAGATAGGTTGGCTGGACCAGCTAGCGGAACAAACTCATCAGCAATACATAAATGGAACAGGAGGACCAACAATAAAATCAAAATATGTCACGGCCCTGTACTTTACCTTCAGCAGTCTGACTAGTGTCGGCTTCGGCAACGTGTCCCCTAATACAAACTCTGAGAAGATTTTCTCCATCCTCATCATGTTGATTGGATGTAAGTATTAGTTACTGGGCGACATCTGCAATCTGAAGCTCGTTTGATGTCGACACAAGGGGAGACAACTTAATCATTTGTAAAAGACAACTGCAACTGCTTTAAGGGAGACAACTGTAGTTGTCTTATTATTTAAATAGGGATATACATTTTATCCGCTGTATATAAGGGGACTATTAGGGGATGAATTTTATCCCCACAGTATAATTGGAGACAATTTTGACCATGATTTAGGGGTGATATGTTAGGCGAGACAACTGACCATTTAGAACTTGTGAAATTGTACTTGAAGGATAAAGGAAGAGCAAGATTCTGACTAGAGGTGGTCACTCTAAAAGTGTTCCTGTGAGAAATTAATTAGTTATGGTATCAAAACAGACATATATTTATGTTATGGTTTTAAAAAAATTAAACAAAATGCTATTAAAGGAGATCATTTTGACATACAGTTTTACAGGTGTTTTATAGAAGCAAACTTAACTATGTTTTGTCGAACTGTGTTTTTGTTTTAATTGAGTGTAACCCTGACAGAATGCTGAGCAGACATCCCCAATTTATGAAGTAATAGAAGCTCTTGATTAACTTGAGAACCCGTTCTTCCATTACAGCATTGATGTATGCCAGTATATTTGGTAATGTATCAGCAATAATTCAAAGATTATACAGCGGAACCGCTCGATACCACACACAAATGTTACGCATAAAAGAATTCATCCGATTCCATCAGATTCCAAACCCACTTCGACAGAGGCTAGAAGAGTACTTTCAGCACGCTTGGTCCTATACAAATGGCATTGATATGAACATGGTTGGTATAGGGCGCTAAATCATTCAAGAATTTCACATTGTACCCTCCCTGGTTTCAATCATGATCATTCTAAAAAAGCAAAGATGGGAATCTGTCCATTTGTCTTCGGAAACTCCACCTAGATTCGTACAAGAATTTTAATGAAGTTTTTTACCTAGATTTTTTGCCCTGCTGTTGGACATTTTGAGATCTTTTTTTTTTAATTTTTTAAAAATTTTTTCTGATTGAGGTATGATCCCTGGTTGAAAATAAGTACAAGAGTTTCGTCTGCATAACTCTTGGTTAAAGGCAGATTTTATAAAACTTGACAGAATGAAAGCCTCAGATTGATGATGTGTCAAGTTTTTATTGTATTAGGATGAAGTTTGCTTCTGTTGGTATAAAATATTTCTACATGAAGTGAACTGACTTTTCATAGCTATATGTTAACATTGAATGTAAATTAAAGCTAAAGGGATGACAGAGAAATGACACATGTTTTGATTAAATATCCAGTTTTACATATATATATATATATATATAATTGTCGGAGAGTATGATATCATCTTTCATATTGATACAATTCAGATTTTAATATTCAATAAATGCAATTAATCTGACATTCCATGCGTGTAAATATTTTTAAAATATTGATATAGAGCCCAGAACTGAAATGTCTTGTATATTGCTTTAAACAGCTTGGATTAAAAAAATTGTTTTAACTTACAGGTTCTGAAAAGTTTTCCAGAATGTTTGCAGGCTGATATTTGCCTGCATTTAAATAAAACGCTGATCAACAATTGCCAAGCGTTTAAAGGTAAGATTGAAATGGCATTGAATTATACTCAATGTTGACTAAAATTTCACCGGCCATTATAATGTTATAACCTTTATCTTATCTCCTAACTGTCAAAAAGTGTGATCTAAATCTTAGCATTACTGACGATTTCTAGAAGGACTCGGAAATAATGCAGTTATTTCATCTAACTCTCAATTTTTATTGAAAGGTACTGCTCACTTGTGTGTCACTTGTACAATCTAATTAGTGATTAGAACAGATTTCAACATATTTAAGCAAATATAAAATTAACATGAAGATTAATATTATTTGTCATCAAGCTAATATTTCTGTCTTTGTTGAGTCGAACTTTCCGTGAGAAATGAATTTCTGAAAGTTGAGTTAAAAATCTGTGACAAAATTTAATAGTGTTCAAAGCAATGTACAAAAAATGTATTTATTTCTTTTTCATTTTACACAGGAATAACCTGGTCAAGGTCAATTATGGCCAATTTGTCCCCTTAATTAAAATCAATAATTAGTTAATATGAGGGGTGCTAAAACTACCTTAAACCCCTCTTAAACGCCAGTCTCCTATACAACATTTTGGTCTTTCAAAATTATGAAGGAAAAAGGTCTTTGCAATATGTTTTGAAGTTTGGTGGTGTTCATATAGTACCATGTCTATCAGAATAGGTGCTGTGATGTTGAACATTTTCCACAAACAGCTTTAAAATTTGGCTAATTCTTAAGATTCTCTGTTACATATATTCCGTTCTCTAACATATATTCCGAATATGATTTCTGAAAAGTTTGTGTGACATTTAAGATAATCTCTCATCCCCCAGGTCAGGTTTTATTGTGACTGGTTCAACGAAAAACACTTTTCATTTTGAACAAGGATTTTGCTCTTTCAATTTAATTTCAATTGCTTTAGAAATTGTTTTTGACTTTCAAAGTGCTGTTTTCTCCGGAGTCAGGTAATTATGATATTAAGGGGGAGATGCATGATAGGTGATGCTGTTCTACTTCCAGCATGGCTTAAATCTGACCGTCCCGTTACAACCACAATTTAAAAAAAACATAAACAATATCGATTGAAACTTTTTAAAATGTTTTAACATTATCAAGATAATACACACTTAACCTAGAAGCAGCGAGATAGAAATTGTTTTTTATATGAAGAACCATTAAGATATGTCATTGCTGTTACTGATAGTGTGATACAATAACTTTGATAGTGAAAGTCGCTGTTGTAGAGCTCATGTAGTAAAAGTGCCAATGTATAGTTTCTGGTATAAAGTGTAGCATCTTCTACAAAACTACAGTGCTCACGTCCTAATATTTTTCCAATATGTACCTAGGATGAGATCCTTTAATGTTTATATATATATGAATAACCCTGATCTTCTAAAATCTTTTTAAAGTTTGATTTTTTTTTTAGGTTAAAGGTCAACAGTGAGCACTTGCTGTGTATATATTTATAATGGTGAAAAGTTAGCTTTGGCTGAAATTTTATAAAGATAAAATTTTAAAGTACCAGCAGGTCAAAGGTCATGCCAATATAGCCATCCTGGGGCACTATATATAGCGGCCACATGCAAATTACTTTACTGGCCTACTTTCAAGGTCACAGGGATGAAGTATATATTTATATCGTGACTTTTTTTCCAAAAGTTGGTCCTAGAGGTCAAGTTGTTGACTGTTCTAAGATAAAAAATTTACATGTAGATATATTCACATCCAGAAGACTCATCAAAGTCATAATGCTATGGTCAAATTGTTATCAAAGAATCCTACTTAAACTTTAAGAGGGCCCATGCAAGGTCATCCTTCCCAGTCACTGCAAACAACATTTTATAGAAATGTACAATATCTCATTTCATTCTTCATATTTTAAACTAAAAAAGGATTGTGGTTGTAAACTAGGAGTTAGATTTAAGGAGTTCCATCCCTTGCAAGGATCACATCAGGGTAGGCATGTCAGTACTCACTTGGATTATTTGGTCATTTCCAAGTTAAAATGAGAGGAGTTTTGTATCAAACTGAACACATCATAACTGACTTAAGTCAAGAGCCAATAAGACACCTCAGCACCGACTGACAATTAGAGACCAGTCACACTGTACACATCAGTACTGACTGACATTTAGGGATCAGTCACACTGCACACATCAGCACTGACTGACAATTAGGGGCCAGTCACACTGCACACATCAGCACCGACTAAGAATTAGGGGCCAGTTACACTGTACACATCAGCACTACAGGGATCAGTCACACTGCACACATCAGCACCGACTGACAATTAGGGATCAGTCACACTATACACATCAGCACCGACTGACATTTAGGGGCTAGTCACACAGTACACATCAGCACTGACTGACATTAGGGACCAGTCACACTGTACACATCAGCACTGACTTACATTTAGGAGCCAGTCACACTGTACACATCAGCACCGACTGACATTTAGGGGCCAGTCACACAGTACACATCAGCACTGACTGACATTAGGGACCAGTCACACTGTACACATCAGCACTGACTGACAATTAGGGATCAGTCACACAGTACACATCACACTGACATAGTCACACTTCACAAATCCGCTCTGACTGACATTTAGGGATCAGTCACACTGCACAGTCACACTGACTGACAGGGGCCAGTCACACTGTACACACAGCATTGACTGACTGACCAGTCACACTGCACACATCAGCACCGACTGACATTTACGAGCCAGTCACACTGTACACACAGTATTGACTGACACATCACACTGCACACATCAGCACTGTCTGACATTTAGGGATCAGTCACACTGCACACAACAGCACTGACTGACATTTAGGGGCCAGTCACACTGTACACATCAGCACTGACTGACAATTAGGGGCCAGTCACACTGCACACATCAGCACTGACTGACATTAGGGGCCAGTCACACTGTACAAATCAGCACCGACTGACATTAGGGACCAGTCACACTGTACACATCAGCACTGACTGACATTAGGAGCCAGTCACACTGTACACATCAGCACCGACTGACATTTAGGGGCCAGTCACACAGTACACATCAGCACTGACTGACATTAGGGACCAGTCACACTGTACACATCAGCACTGACTGACAATTAGGGATTAGTCAAACAGTACACATTAGCACTGACTGACATAAGGGACCAGTCACACTTCACAAATCCGCTCTGACTGACATTTAGGGATCAGTCACACTGCACACGTCAGCACTGACTGACATTTAGGGGCCAGTCACACTGTACACATCAGCATTGACTGACAATTAGGGACCAGTCACACTGCACACATCAGCACCGACTGACATTTAAGAGCCAGTCACACTGTACACATCAGTATTGACTGACATAAGGGACCAGTCACACTGCACACATCAGCACTGTCTGACATTTAGGGATCAGTCACACTGCACACAACAGCACTGACTGACATTTAGGGGCCAGTCACACTGTACACATCAGCACTGACTGACAATTAGGGGCCAGTCACACTGCACACATCAGCACTGACTGACATTAGGGGTCACACACAAATCACACTGTACAAATCACACTGTACAAATCAGCACCGACTGACATTAGGGGCAGTCACACTGTACACATCAGCACTGACTGACATTTAGGGATCAGTCACACTGCACACATCAGCACTGACTGACATTTAGGGATCAGTCACACTGCACACATCAGCACTGACTGATATTTGGGGGCCAGTCACACTGCACACATCAGCACTATCTGAAGACTAAAGCGCACACATTGTCACCGACTGATAATCTTTGGCCAATCAAACTTCATACATCAGCTCTAAATAGTGTCGGTGGCCAATTCAACTGCACACAGCACTGACTGACGTTTTAAGGACCGTTCAAAGAAAGCTACTAATTATAGCTGACTGATGTCTCGAGCCAATTAAACTGCACACATCAGCACTGAATGGCGTCAGGGGCCAGTCCAACTGCACACATCAGGATACACAGAAGTGTAGAGGTGATAGAACTGCACACATTGTCACATTGACTACTTGTAGTTTACGTCTCATCACAAGTTGTTAGAAATGCATAAATGAGAAAATTGCTATCCCCTTTTTTTTATCTTCACATTGGAAAACAACAAATGTTGCATCATATACAATCATACCTACGTAGGTATCAGCCTGCGATTGAGTCACACTGTCTATGCTTCACATCAAACCTACAAAGATGTCCATGTAGATAGAAATGAAAGTCATTAGACTTTTAACATCATTCACAGATTCCCGTAGTTGGACATAGATATTCCTAAGCACTTTCATTTCTTATTAAGAAGGTAAAAATATCACTCTTTGTATAGGTATGTGTGTATAAGCACATGAAATGTTATAATAAATGTATATCGAAGATAAAACTAACTAAAAATCTTACAATCTCATTTTATACGCGTGTTTAAACTCACATGGCTCAGAAGGTCATAAAACAAGGGCATCATATCAGTGAGTTCATCATATATTATGCTGTTTACTGTAGATTTATATATACAAATGTTTAGCCTCATTCTCCTTTAACTGCCTATAGAAACATTGGTGAGCCAGTTTTTTTTTTTTCATCATTGATACTCCTTAGGTTATGATCACTTTCACTTTCTGCACCCCTGGAATATATCATGACAAAATTGAAGGTTCGTTCACCTTGCGGATGAGATGAAGAGACTAGTTTGATCCTTTGATACACATCAAATGAATATCATGGTCACTTAGGTATATTGTATTGGCTTTGAAGTTTGGTGTTGCTTCTTTGTATCTTTAAAAGGAGCATACCAGCCTTTGATTGGTCAGTTTTTTCTCCTGGAACCAATCAAATTACTTCGCTTATGCCTTGAATTTTGCCATGACATGTTCCAGGTGTGCAGAGAGTGAAAGTGATCAGAACCCCTGGAGTATGGAGGATGATCTTTTTACTAACACTGCATAACAAATCCTTCAAATTTTATTGCTACAATATCAATATTTTCAAGACCAGTACAATGTAGATTGTAGCACATGTTACTCTGTATGGTATATAGTAATATTGTACCCAATTTTATTTTGTATTGATTTGTTTTAGGATAAAAAAAGTTTTTGCAAAGAATTACACAGGTGATCCGCAGCAGTAAAATTGTAGCCTAATATAGTCTGTTTTGGGAAAGTTAGATTATCTATGAATTTCTGATGCCAAAGTCAAGATTGTATAAGCAGCTTGATTCTGTTAAAGAAAGTTGGTGTACATAACATGTGGGTTGGAGGTTATAAGTAAATTTGAGTTAGTGTGTAGGAATATAATTCCTCACAACTATAGCCTTTTTTTAAATGCATCGTCACTACATATGAAGCCAGGACACTAATAATATATGCTTTTTTCAAGGGACAGAATTAGATTTTTGTTATGATGGAAAACAAATGCTTTGTGTGCTAGTAACATATATATATATATCAAAATTACCATCTTGAATGTTATATTGATTTAACAATAAGAAATATCAAAAACTTCATTAATATAAAAATATACCACAGGTCTTTCAGAATGTTATCACTTCATAACTGAGAGGAAGGCAGGATAATATGTTTTAATGAATTGGACTGGACAAGATCATGAATACTGTTAAGATCATCCTGTGAATATATGTCCCTGAGTGTGAAGTAGGCTTATATTTAAACTGCTGAATGGCATGATTGGCTGATGATATTGCTCGTTATTCTAGTGTGAATCTTAATATATATATATTATGTTTAGAGATCATGATTTAGGATTTATTATCGCACCAGGTCCTAGAAACAATAGGCCAAGCTTAACGCATGGTGTGTTTTAAAAATCATCCATAATTCTTCATATAGATATCAGCTGGAAACTTTTCCCAAATTTTCTGATGTTACTCATACATGTAGGAAAAACCAAATGAAATTAGTTTTTCTATATAGAATGATCTAGTATCAATTATTCTTCAGGTGTACCATTGCAGAAATGAAAACGGCAAAATGTGGTTATATGGCATTTATGCATCTACCTCCATTGTACTAAGTCTGATAAAGACAAAATACGTTTCTAGTTTATACCTTATTATAGATGATCTTGAATTGAGAAATAGGTGAACTTAGATGGCAATTTGGCTTGGTTAAGACAATGCAATAAAAAACCGAACACTTCATAGTTCTTTTTAGCACTTTTTTTCACAAATCTTGATTAGGTGCACCTATCATCTTTCTCAGCAAAAAGGTGGACAGGTATGAGGTCACTTTGATATCTTTTTGTAGATCAAAAGAATTTGAAAAGTTCATATTATCATTATGAACATGAACAAATACTATTCTATATTGTACTGTAATTAGACCACCTTGAGATAGCTTATGGAGCTCCTGGGCAAATTACAAGATAGATATGATAAAATCCCAACTGCCCAGTACGTAACCTTTCACTCAGTTAATAAATTCATGTATTATTTTTCTAGTTAGTTTTTCTGTTTATATTACAGGTGCCAGTCCGGGTTGCTTGCGGGCACTTTCTATGAAGTTTAAGACGACACATGTCCCACCTGGGGACACTCTACAACATCGCGGGGACGTCCTAACAGGACTTTACTTCATCTCCAGAGGTTCCATTGAGATCCTCAAGGAGGATATTGTTGTAGCAATACTGGGTAACTACATCCCACAAAATCATAAACCTTTTATATGTTTATGGTAAATCACTTTTAAGATTCTCTGTATTGATACATGTCAGAATTTACCATCTCTAACAATTTAAATTTATTTATGTTTAAAATCTTCTTTAAAACCTTACCTTGGTGTAATAGGTGATGACATATTATCAAACCTGTCTATAAAGGTCACTTAAAGGAGCAGAGAAAAATGACCTTTATAGACAGGTTCAATTACTATGAATAATTTTATGTTGAAAACCAAACAAATAGCCTTATAGGGCAGTCTTGGTATAGAAGTGGGTTTAAAGGCAGGTTTGTCTGTATATACATTATGTTCACTGTGTAAATCACTGTTTTGTGTATCTGTGACAGGTAAAGATGATGTGTTTGGGGAAAATATATGTAAACACGACACAATTGGCAAGTCAAGTTGTAACGTACGTGCCCTGACCTACTGTGATCTACACAAGATTCATCGCGATGATCTTATGGAGATACTAGAGATGTACCCCGAGTTTGCTGAGCACTTTACCACTAACTTAGAGGTCACCTTTGACCTCCGAGACGTGAGTACTGTAACGCTTTTGTAATTAGAAGACCAGTGTTAAAAATCTATACGACTAAAAGATACTGAACACAATATTTCAGTCTTGGATACTTTGGAATTAATCCAGACATGTATGTAGAGGAATTTCAAAAGGTCATCATTTTTAGACAAAAAATTGTAAATTTACAAGAAAGATTCTTTTCACATTCAAAAATCATTTTCAAACAAAGGCCATCAAGCATTCTCAGTTTTAGAAAATAATGAAGTTTTAATATGATATATAAAATAAATTTTATATAATTTCAATTTTACTAGCATTTTCTAGTCATCGGTATGATGTTCTATTGCAGGAGGATTTGGTGATACGACGGGCTGAAAATGAGAATAACTACGGGGCTAGACAAATGTTGAGGAAAAGGCGGTCCATTAAATCTGACCACTCCTCAGGGTCAGGATCTCAAGGTTGGTCAATAATGTTATTTCCAGGGATACATTGCTCTGTCATATAACAACTTCTCTGGGATAAAGCCTGACAAAGTTTGTGAAAAGGAAAAACCTGGACCGAAAATATTCAAGGTCACAGCAGTCACTTTTATTAAAACTTTTTGAACGTCTTTTGATTAACCAAAAGGCCTTAGAATCCTAATTTGTGGCTGGTAGTTTATTTTGCTTGAAGCACAGTAAAGGTTACAAATAGAAATGACCTTGACACTTAATTGTCTAGGTAACTATGTCAGATTTGTTAAAGCATTCAAATGCCTTCTTCTGATAACTAAGATAACTTGAATAGTATTTGGCTTGTAGATTCCAGGGGTTAAGCAGGACGAATCTTGCTAAAGTAGCATAGCTTGTCCTGTGTAAGCAGGCTAACATTAAAATTTGTTAAAATAAATTTGTTTATACCCAGTTTTGAGTGTCAGTTACATTGTATATCAGATATACATGAAAGACTATGAATATTAGATCATTGATGCAGGTCTTGTGGGCCTCTTGTCAAGACATGAATACCTGCTCTAATTTTGGAAGAAGAATATCATTTATTTGGCCATGCTATTTCAAAATTTATTATTCTTGATGACTAGGGTATTTTTATTAAGCAAATGACACCCATGTGGCTTAGACTTAAAACATTCATTGCAATTGTCCAAAGAGACACAAAAACATTTCTTTTTCATTTCTTTCTCATAGAAAATAAGATTTCAGACGACAACAACCAATTTTTCTTTCTTTCGTATGGTAAATCTTGCTGAGGCTATCTTTTAACATAATTATATATATGTATCTTATGTATTTCAAGATGAAGGAAGCAAAGAATACAAGTTCCGCCCATCACGTGCTCGTCGTTTAAGGCGACATGTGAACCAACATGAAGGACAGATGATGTCTACATCATTTGACTCGAGCGAAGAGGATATACAGGAAAGTGGGGCGGGAATATTGGAGTTTTCTACCAATAAGGCTGGACAAGACATAACTCCTGCAAACTTTGAATTTGATTCCAAGGATGACAAAAAGCGGCCAGGGTTCTCATCCATTGCAGGTGACATTCACAAATAAATACTTTTCAAATATGGAGGATGGGGGAAGAAACATCTCCTGACATATCTCTGATCAGGAAGAAAACAGTTTCAAATGGTTTCTGTGTCTTTTCAAACCCACGTGTGGCAAATAATTTAGATATTTAGGCTCATGGTGACCTATTGCCATCATGATTTGTCTGTCGTGCATCGTCCGTCATGCGTTGTTAACTTTTCACATATAAGACTTCTTCTCAAGAACCACTAAATGGATTTGGACCAAACTTGGCACAAAGCATCCCCATGGGAAGCCGCTTCAAGTTTGCGAAGAAAAAGGGCGTGGCCCCAATAGGGACCCCAGGAGGGGGAAAAAGGGGGTAAAATTAGGTAAATCTTTAAAAATGTTCTTCAGCATCCCTTAGTGAAGGACATATGAAATTAAGTTGAAAAAAGTGATAATGTCCCCTTTGGGGTCCATAAGGTGTGTAAAAGTGGCCATATGTAAAAACCTTCTTTAAATGACTTCTTCTCAAGAACCAGTGGATGGATTTTGATCAAACTTGGCACAAAGCATCCCCATGGAAAGCCGCTTCAAGTTTGCTAAGAAAAAAGGGTGTGGCCCCAAAAGGGGCCCCAGGAGGAGGGAAAAGGGGGTAAAATTAGGTAAATCTTTAAAAATCTTCTTCGCATGAACCAACAGTCAGATTAAGTTCGTGAGTCTTTTTAGTTGGATGCCTTATTGTATTAGGCAAGGAAAAGATTGTGGGTAGACTTGAAATTGATCTGATTTTTTGTATACTTTAGCTATACATGTATCTACTAAGCTATATTTCAACTTGTAAATGAAAACAGGATTTGCTTTATATAAATGTGCAACCCTGGCCTCTGTTTGGCTAAGACATTTTGGACTTCCTCTCAAGAACCACTGGGTGGATCATGTTCAAACTTGGTACAGATGTTTTACACACGGTCCTGCACAAGGGTTGTTACATTTTTGCAACATTTTAAAATCCCCAGATTATTGACATATATTCCTCAGGTGACCGTTAAGGCCTCTTGTCTATATCTGTTATTATTGTTTGGGCAATAGTAACGCACTCTCATTTCATCTAGTCCACACGGGGTTTGATTCCCTTTAATTATCAGACATGAGAAAGTATTGCATCAGATGACCAATGAGCTGAAAACGGTTTCTGTCCACAAAAGTGATCAGTATACTAACATAAGCTTGTATAAGTTTCACAATTACTGGTATATAGTCGTAAAATAAATAGATTTGATAATTCATAATTTAATATTTATAATTATTTGTAGTTATCAAGATATCTTCGTAAAGAAAAGTAAAATCAATTTTGTTTTTATTAGCTGGAGCCTTAGCTAATGTTAACAACCTGATGAATGTCGTAACTGGACGCTATGACCATCAGAGTAAGAAAATGGACCAAGACACTGCACCTCTACTACAGGACCAAAGCCAGAGTTCTGACACACAGGTACGCTCACAAAGGTGTATATGTATACTGGTTATATATATATAGAGGGAGTATTACCTCCCCTGATTTATCAGATTTTAAAAACTGGAAAAAATAAAGAAAAGAAAAATCCTGTAAAAAAAACTCATTACAGGTAAGGTCGTTGTTGTGCAGGTTCTTTTTTTTTATCTTCTTTTTTGCCAGTTTTAGGAAAAAGATATGAAAAAAAAAAAATTTGAAATAAAATATGCAAAACTTGATGGAGTTGATTCAAAATTATGACTTACTCTTGAAAGCTTTAACCATAGAAAAACAACCTCTTCAGAAATTATTCTTGCAGCCTGCAGATCACTATATATTCTATTGCAAAGCAAGTCCTCAAAATTGATTATATGCAAAACATGTAATGGAGTCCATGTATGGTAAATTTGATTTTGTGCTGTGAAGTGATGTCATCCTTATTTGTCATATTATAGAAGACAAATTTAGTATTCAAACTTGTGACTATTTCAGCCCAAGGGGATGTCCAGTTCCAGTATGCCCAAGTCCACCTCGTCCATGACACTGCCTGTGTCCAGTCCCTCGACCCAGTCCCAGTTTGAGGAGGCACAAGGGCAGACAACCTTCATTCCCACAGAGACCTGTCCAGGTGACCCTAATGATGGCCATTCCAGTCCTCAGGATGTTGAGAGACGACTTGACGAATTAGCAAGGTGAGTGGAAAGCAGAGTAGGTGGATAGCCAGTGGATATTACAGCAAGGTAGGTGGATAGCCAGTGGATGTGACAGCAAGGTAGGTGGATAGCCAGTGGATAATACAGCAAGGTAGGTGGATAGCCAGTGGATGTGACAGCAAGGTAGGTGGATAGCCAGTGGATAATACAGCAAAGTAGGTGGATAGCCAGTGGATGTGACAGCAAAGTAGGTGGATAGTCAGTGGATGTGACAGCAAGGTAGGTGGATAGCCAGTGGATGTGACAGCAAGGTAGGTGGATAGCCAGTGTATGTGACAGCAAGGTAGGTGGATAGTCAGTGGATGTGACAGCAAGGTAGGTGGATAACCAGTGGATGTGACAGCAAGGTAGGTGGATAGTCAGTGGATGTGACAGCAAGGTAGATGGATAGCCAGTGGATGTGACAGCAAGGTAGGTGGATAGTCAGTGGATGTGACAGCAAGGTAGGTGGATAACCAGTGGATGTGACAGCAAGGTAGGTGGATAACCAGTGGATGTACATTTTGTATGTTACATCACAGTAAGTGGATAGACAATGGATATGACAAAGTGAATGAGTGTGGAAGCAAGGTGAGTGCATAGCCAATGAATGTGACAACATCGTGGTAAGTGGATAGATATTGGATGGAACTTGTAGACATAGGAGATGACCTACACATACTACCCAATGCAAGATTTTCCATATTGTACAATCTGTCTAGTACATTTACAAGATATCTGGAATATTTTAATTGAGACATACCCAATTAGTTATCTGACTAGAAACCCACAAGGGAAGTTATTCAACCTAATCTAAGAATTCCAATATCCATCAGTTGATATTGATTTTGTGCAGTTTTGGCACAGTTGTGTTTGTAAGGATAATTCATTACCTCATGTGTGATATATTGGTCTATTTAGTGTCAGGCTGACATTCTGTAACATTGAATTCTAACCTTTTCCTCAAATGAGGTTTTATTACAGAATACCAGCACTTGTCTGACAGAATTTTTTCAAATACATATAAAAAATATGAAGTAGATTTATGACAAAGAAGGGCGAATTTAAAAATTCATTGATGACTTAACCAGGCCATGAGTTTATCTGAAAATGGAGGAACTCAACAGGGAAATGGATGATTCATTGACAAGTTTGAAATAGCGGTGAACAAAAAATTATGCATGTGGAATGTACAGGAGGTACTCTGATGTGGTAAATCAAAGGCAAAATGTTTATAGGTAGACTACGTTTACCAAATTCACAAATTGATGTTACTTGTAATCAGAAAATTCGTCACTGTTGAGAAAGTTGATTAATAGGGAGAGTTATCTCCCCTATGGTATATACTAAACTATGTTTGAGACAAATCTTGTCATGATATGGTACATTAATAAATCACTTGTTTTATATCTTAAGTGATGTACATGTATCTCCCAGTAGAAGAAGGTTACTGAGAATATTCCTGTTATTGGTTTCTCTACAGGCAGCTGACAAGACTGGAGAGAAAAATGGGTTGTGATATTGCCATGATCCTGAACATTCTACGCTCCCAGACAGTGGAACCTTCCCACTCTACACAGATACCCTCCGACCCCCGCGTGACCCCACCTGATGGCAACCTCCCACCTCCCCCAGACTATAACCAAATCCAGGAGGATGATGATACCTTTGGATATCAGGAAGCTGCAGACAAATCAGGGAAGGCACAAGTTTCTGCAAAACACTCCAAGACGGTAACATTTTTCTCCTGTTTTCCTCATTGTTTGTCTCTCAGTCTCTTGATATTTTCTGATTACGAGTTTTTAGCCAGTTCATAGCATTATCTGACTGGAATATGTATTATACTACCGTGCCTAGGTTGGAGCTCTTTTGACCAGTGCAAACGTATATATTTAGTCTGTATTATCTTTGAGGCTCATATTGATATAATCCTATCTGCTTGAAGATAAAAATGAAAGCTTGTAATAGATAAAGAAATAAATCTTAAGTATTGTTCTTCCTGCTAATCTTACGGGTCTGACTTGAAATCTCTCACTTCAGCATTGTTTGCGTGTTTCTTGTTTCAGGAGAGTGACCAGGAAGATGGTGAGGATGGACCGTGGAAGCCTCGGACTGATTGTGATATTGCTTCTCCGTTATCAAATATTCCCACTAGTGACAATTCCATTTCCCCATGTGATCCCACAGACAGTACACATTCATCTTCATTCAGCCAATCACAAACTGTGTCTCCTCTGTCTGAGGCAGTTTCTCCAATCAGCCAATCAGAAGATCCAGCTCAATCTCAAATCAGCCAATCACAATCCTCCACTCTATCACCAACGACACGTCGTCGTTTGGGTATACCTGATGGTGTGGACATGAGGAACACTGTTGTTTAGTTATCTTGTTGTTATTTTTAGTTGATATATACTGTAGTATATGGCACTCCAACTTTTAAATCGTTCTTATCCAGACATTCGCCAAAATGTTCACGTGAAAAAAAGTAAGCTGAGATGGTCAGTTGTCAGATGACTATTGTTCAACACATAATTAGAAAATGACATACAGTTTTAATCTGATTTATTATTTATAAATATACTTCACTTGTATTTACAGTTAAGTATATCCACAAATAAACAAATTTTACGAATTAAAACGTTTGAATTATTCTTCTGAGGTGGATTCGTGTTAATTTTTTATTTAACTTTAGTTATTATATAATAATCCAGTAGTTCTGTACTAGTTCAGATATGATGATTCATTGAATTAATAATGCTTTCACAGATCTCAAAACCTTAAAATATTAGTCACAAAATTTGTAAAGGACTCAGAATCAATATAAATATGGATTGTTTGAAGTGTATGTTTTGTCAGGAGACTTAAGAAATCCTATATCCTTAATGAAGGAAATTTCAATTTCATCAGTTGAATAGATATCAGATATACTAACAAAATTAGATGGACTTACTTCATCACTGATATGATTTGAGAAAACTTTTAAGTAATTTGTTAAACAGAAGTATTTACACTGTACCTGAAAGATATTTCCAATCAATTTCTCTTCTTTGGATCTTTCTGTCAAAAATTGCTTTTTTTTTTTTTTTTTTTTCGTTAGTTCTGAAATCTTGAAATGCATGTTTGTTTAATGTTGCAAAAATCTGCTACCTCAGAAGAATATATTCATTAATGATAATGCTTATGACCCGAAAGTGAGGAAAAAATTATGCTAGAACCATTACATCAAATAGAATGTATTTATACTGTTAAATGATTTAAAGACTTAATATTTAAAAAGTTGCATACTGTAGCTCTGATCTTAATGAATAGGATTTTCAGTTAGTGATTAAAATTGTATATTTGAAAAAAATGATAAAATTATTTAAAAACTTTAGATCTGAAAATTCTATATTATTGCAAGTGATAATATACAAAACAACAACATGTAGTGTGGTAGGACTGGTTAGAATAATAGAATCAGAGTGACGATTTAAAGCACAGTTATGTATCAGAATTATTTCGCAAATACAATGCAAAATCAGATGATTGTGGTTTCTCAAACTTGAATCTACAGTAATGTGTTAGAAAGATTGTCACGATTTAAAATAAAAGATTATGTATATTGTAAAAGATTACATATTGTTTTTGACAATAGGAGATTGATAATGGTTTGAAAAAAAAAAATTAAAAAAAAAATCTTGTCAATTTTTGACAACAGGAGACTAGTAATGTAAAAGATGACAAAAAGACAATGTTATGTCTGTCTCCAAGACAATGTGATATTTATGTAAGGAAATAGTGCAGAAAGATGTTGTACAATTTAGTGATAGGAATATATTCCATTGTTATCCCTTCTAGGCTGTTACTCATTGTTATATTTCATGTTAAGATATCCAATGTTCATACAAGAAAGATTAGCATGTAGTTGCCCTATTAATCCTATCAGGTTACATAGGCTTAATAAAGATAAATTTATTTACCACGATCCACCACAAAATGAAATGACATTTCAAAACTTTTTTTTAAGATTAACTGATATGTTTATTCGTGTTTAAAAAAAAATCAAAAAGAATATATTGATTAATGTTTTAGTTTTCACAGTGTTTAAGTTACAGTTTTGTACTGTTTTTACTTGTGTAAGAGGAAGCTGAAATGACCCACAGATATTTTCATTTTATAGAATTTTGCTGAGTCGATTATTTAACTATTGAGAGGAAATAGGATACAGTTAAAACAATTTAGGTAACAACTGAGAGGAATTAACGCACAATAAAATAAGAAAGTGAAAACTGAAGACAGAGAAAAATAATTATACATTTTGATATTCTTATCTTTAAAAAAACAAAGAAAGGAGACAAAATATAATGGCCATCCCAGACAAAATATCAGATGACTTTTCACAACCTGTTTTTATCTGCCATCTGTCGATAAGCAAGTGGCATATTGACATCTTATCAAAACACATGAAATGAATTTGATAAAAACTTGTAATGGTAATAATTTTATTTACATTACTAATTATTTGAAGACAGTTATATTGGCAGTTTTAAGCAGTTTCTAATTATCAAATAATATTTATGGTGCTCTACTTTTTTATTGGCAGGTCCATATATAATTTCTATAACTGCATTATATGTGTAATTCTCTTTTTTGCACAGAATTTGCATTATAATTTTAAATTCATGTGACAATAATAAAAAATCTTATTCAGATAAGTAATAAATCTCAGAAGTCCCTGAAATTATTTTGCAATAATATTTGCAATAATTTATTATTTATTGAAACAAACTAGCTCAGCTTTCATATTCCTTTAAACTTCCAATATTTATTAAGTTTAGTGTTTTCTTAAACATTATCTGTGCTTGAAGTAAAGAAGTTTTAAATGTCACAAACATGATGGTTGCAATATTGCATATTGCTAATTCATCAAGAGTACAATGGAGTATTTATACCGGCATCTTTATTTACTAGAATTTTCAGTTAAAGACATGTAAATTCATTAATTCTTTTGTTAATTTGCAATAAAGACATTCAGAATAAAACAAAACACACCATGAAAATACAGGTATTGGACATGGCGAAGAGGACAGAAATGAAAAGATAAATATTTGGATAAGAATGATGTTGTTCATGCTGTGCCATGTTATTTGTTAATTATACTGTTTTGTTCAGTGAATTTCATGTAGTCTGAGTTTATAGTGTTTTGCTTATAAAAATCACATTTTGGTTATTTGTTATTATTGTACAGAGATGTGAGCCAGATTATTTTTTCTCAATTCAATGTTCAGTACTCTCCAGAAAATCATTCTAGAATGAGCATTTTGAAAGTTGCCCAATCAACAGATTTTGAAATTTTAATCATGATGTTTCCATGTTTAAAATTTAGATTTTAAAAGCCTTATAATATAATAGAAAGTATGTATTTTGATTATGTGACTTGCGTGAATCATATCTAAACTGTACGTTTGAAGAAAGACGAAGATGATATATTTTCATTCTGTAAACAAGCAAATTTTGTTACAGTGTGTACTATGTCATGACCTTACTTAATATTGATTGGCAATTTAAAAAATAACAAAAAGTAATGAGACAAAAAGTTTGATGTCTGACATTTTACATATTATGATACAACTGCATGATAAATTTCTATTGAAAAAAATCACATTTCTGGAGACTAACTTGATATCTAAGCCTTGGTAATCTTTTTATATTTTGAATAAAGAAACTGTATGGTCTTATTGAACAGCAAGTATATGATCTGGCTCACATCCATGTCGTAGGTAAGTGTATCTCAGGAAACGTTATGCAATGTTTTGCATTTTCAATGGCTCCAGGGGCCCTGTTAGGCATGCTGGGAAGATTAATATGCCAGAGAAAGGTTTCAGTATTATTTAAGCCAGTAAAATTGTAGTGCCACACTTTCCGTCTGATGAAATGAATGCTATGTTATCTTCATAAGATTTTGAAAATGGAATTATTAAAACTGTAAGAGGCAAAATAATAATTCATTAAAGGATTTCATGCAGGAATTGCTGTTTAGAAATACACAGAATTATTGAAGATGGTTTGATACTGTCCAAATTCATTATGTTTGGATTTTGTTGGAAAATCAAAAAAGGTAGAAAAATATAAAGCGAAATGTTTGGTGAGATCCTTTTTTAATTGTTTTTATGATAATTAAGTCAAAAGTATGTGTTGTACATAAATGAATATATTATGTTGAACAACCGGCCTAAACTGTCATACATGTATGATACAAATGTATGATGTTATGTTTTGAGACCTTTCGGTCATTCACCAGCATGGAAACTACAGCTCAAAATCACACCCGCCATCATACTCAAAGATGTTAGTTTTCTGCTGAAGTTCACTGTACACCTGATGTTGGTGAATGACCGTCGGGTTTTAATGTATTAAGTGATAACATGTAACTTATGTTAAACTCAATTGATAATGCATGTTAAAGTGCGAGTAAATCAATATTTTCATAAGGGAATATAACCATGGGCACGATTCTTTATCATTGTTGCTGTAAAATGTTTGATTTTTGTGGATGGTTTATTTTCGTTGATTTCATGGGTTCTCATAATCCACTGAAAAGTCCACAAATTATCAACCTGTTAAAAATTTGACATTGATGTGTAGTATTAGCAGATTATGTGGGTACTATTATCCATATACTTAAATTTTCCTTGAAAAAGAAATTCCATGGAAAAATCACGAAATTTTTTCACCACAAATATACATGATTTTACAGTACATACATAGTGTATAAAGTAGAACTCTCATCTATCACAATCACTAAATTCTCACCCAGTAGGATTTGTACTTAAATAGACTGACACAATACTTTCTTTTTCAAAGTGTAAGATTTTGATGATCGGTAGAGATATGTAAAAAATGTTCCATTTGGTATCATAATGGAATAGATATAATGTTAGCTACACAAAGTATTCACACTAATCCATAATGTTAAAACAAAAGTGGTATTTTGCTGTAGTGACACTAAATACTTAATCAGTTTTTATGTAATGACTTAAATACATTGAAAGGATATCAGCACCATAAAGTGGGTTTTTTTCACTATTGCTGTGTTCCTAAATTACCCTACTTCAAATAACTCTTGAGCATATACATACATGGTATACATAGATGATAGTATTTGAATACATTTGGTTTATGTCAAAAGTTATGGCTATAGAATAAGAAAAATAATCTGAAATCAAATAATTCTGCAGATGTAAATTGCAGCTGTCACGTGACTTTTTATATAGTGATCAATACTGAATATCACACGAGGTATCTTATCAAGATGATCCACTTCGCTGGTAACAAGTTCTTACAATTAATTGAATTATCCCATGTGTGTTTATTAGACAAAAGAGACAACGAAAAATCTGGT